GGAGATGTGGTTGTAGTTAATGAGCCTAGAGCATACGCACGGGAAGCACATGACTGCCTCTGCCTGTACTTAACCTAAAGTTTTCTCATGAGCACCAGAAAGTATCTCGTGCGCACCAGAAAGTATCTCGTGAGCACCAGAAAGTATCTAGTGCGCACTAGAAACGTTTCAATTTTTTTTTTTTTCCCATGTCCCTTTAGGGGCTCCGTACATTACAGTTTTTCAGTGGCTAGATTCTTAATGCAAGTTTTAAGAGTTCTAGCTAAGAAAGTTGGCTTACCTTATTGGCAGATTTTTTTTTGCTCAATACAAGAAAATCTTGTTATACTTAAGAATATTTGGCTTGTTTGTATAAGGGCTGTTTTTGCAGTGCACTTTGTTGGAATCATACAGAGGCATTAACAATGCAAGTAGCCAATAGCAAGGATCAGAAACATTGTTGAGTTGAGTTGTACCAACCACATTACAGTTTCATAGTAAAATATATATTTATATATATATTTACTACAAATTAAAATGAGTTGGTTTACCTGGCCTGTGTGCTCTGTTTCATCTTTGTTGATAAGATACATCACAAAGAATCTGAAACACACATACACACACTTATTAGAAATAATATTCACTGACAATATTATCACACATATGTACACCAGGGGTATTCAACTTGTGGCTCGCCAAAGCTTTTCATACCACCTGCAGAATGGCCACAGATAAAAAAAATAAGCAGGAACATTTCCTCCAATTGCACCTTCATATTAAATTGGCGGAACACAAATAGACTTTTATTATGAAGTAGTTATCACAGGAAATTAAATATGTTTGTCTGTGAGCCCACTGACTGCCCGCTATCGTTCACCTAAAATGCAAAATTTACCAAGCAAAACAACATTTACATTGAGAAAACGGTTGGAGTGGCTGTGTCATTGTTCAGAGCATAAAAATCAGATCACGGCTCCTCACAGACCGATTATTTTAAATTAAATTATCTTTATTTTATACTTTTATGCCTGACGTCTTTATCAAAATGACAATAGTTTGTTTAGCAGCCCCCAGAATTTTGTGGTCTGCAGTATTAAACCAAATGTGTTACATGCATGATAACGGTGTAACTGTAAAACCAGTTAAAGTTGATTAACATTTTCTGTCAATCAGGCCTGCGTAGAAATTTTTGAATTACAGGTTTTAACCATCACTCCGCAGTGTCTGCTTAGAAACATTCTGCCCCTTAGAAAACTGTAGCTGAATACCCCTGCTGTATATCCCCCATGCACAAACACACCACAAACACGCCAAATTTAAACCATTACTACTTCTAAGATATAGAAAGGCCCTCCGTAATGCCAGAGCAGCCTATTATTCAGCACTAATAGAAGAAAATAAGAACAACCCTAGGTTCCTCTTCAGCACTGTAGCCAGGCTGACAGAGAGTCACAG